TTTTACTGACCTTTTGGAAGTCTCATGTACAGACAAAAACTGAGAAAAGCAATACATCTCAAAGCAATCACAGACTGCAGAGAATTTACATACATTATGAAATTCATCAATGAATGCAACACAACTATTACCGGATATATTGTATATGCCCTCAATATAGACAAATAGTTAAGGGGAAGATTTTATCATTGGTGGATCATGTTAGGAGCTAATGATGACCTACTGTGCAAAAATTCACCCTGATGAGACCTCTCTACTTTGACTATTATCATAACACATGTAAAGGACAGGAAAGGGTAGTTTTAAACTAACACAAGTGTTTACAGCAAGACTCAGCTGAGCACCTAATATAACCTAAGGACCATTAATGGCATCATTTTGAACACTTGGGATGTGCAGAAACAATTAATTGTAATGAAATTAAATGATATGGTTCCTTCTTATCTGAATCCTTGATGCAGATTACTCAAGATATTTCAAGAAAGAGGATAGGGATTCTTAAAATATAATCTCCAAAACTTTGGTAGAGTAGATATAAAGGAAGAAATTGAAAAAAAAAAAATACAAAGATATACAACAGAAGTAAAAGAAGAAAAAGGAAGAAATGCTTGTTGTTACTATAAGAACCATCAATGGCTTATGGCTTATGTGAACCATGGCTAAAACTTCTCAACAAACGTCTCTTACTCTGTTCCCACATCTTTTTCATCTCGAAATCTATATGTGAGAGAGAGAGAGAGAGAGAGAGAGAGAGAGAGAGAGAGAGAGAGAGAGAGAGAGGACAGTCATGGGGAGAATGCTCCACAGAGAGGGAAGGGCAGTAGGATAAAAAATTAAAGCAAGAAAACAGGGGAAGGAAGGAGGAAGTGGGATGGGAAGGGAACACAGATAGAAAGTGAGATAGAAAAAAAGATAAGAGGGCAATAAAAGATATAATCCAGGAAAAGAAGATATAAGACACAAGGAGCAGAGTAAAAAGCCTCTTCACAACAGAGACCCGGAAGGAAGAACACAGTGGCAGAACCTTAAACCTGTTTGAGTTTATTTCTCATGAATATTTAGTGAGGTAGGAAGCAGGAACATAACCTTGGTGTCCAGTGCGATCTTCCACAAACCACCAATCAGATGACTTGGCGTGCAGGACAAGAACGACCTGTCCAGCCACCAAGTTGAGCTGAGTGCTGTCTGAGCCACCGAAGTTGTATAGTGCATAGTAGAACTGGGACGGAAAGAAAAGTATGTGATTCCCTGCCCTTTTGATGTTTTTTGGGTTAATGATATGCTAAAGTTTCTTTATTTATGTATCAATTATTCACATGCAATATCAAACAATAAGAAATAGCAAGAAAAATATATAACAAAAAATAATATCTCAAAAGATTACCAACATATAATTCCAACACAAACCCTTTCACTATAAAAATCTTTTTACTAAATTATTCCCATACCAATCTTTCCACACTATTTGCAAGTATAACACCTGCTCTACTCTCCCCACAGGGTACTGCAGCCCTAAAATAGAAATATAAAAGGAAAACTTACCGGAAACTCTTCTGCCTCTGTTTCTGGGAGAGTGTCCTGGTCTGTGTTGCTGTAGGTGGCTTCATCCACTAACTGCCCATCCTTAATGACCTCATAGATGGGACTTTCCTCCGGCTCTTTGCTGTCTCTCTTTTGCGCAGAAGCCTCAGATACCTGGCGGGGTTTGGGGTTTGTTCATATTCACTGATATAAAGATTCAGATTGTGTTTATTACCTACTGAATCTGGTTGGTTGCTTCATGGAAATCACATGGCCCAAAATAAGGGCATTACACTTACATGATGGGTACATGGTTTATAGGCTGGTTACACACAAGCACTCATATGCAGTGACAATTATGTCTCTTTTTATGCATAAGCATATTTAGCTATTTTGCTATTTTCCAATGTCCATATTTGTCATTTGATTTGCTTTATCCAGATGGTAATAGACTGCTCTCCTTTCACAGACTCCATATTTTCTGTCTAGGTTATATAACTCAGTGCAAGAATATTAACAATAAATAACATTGTTATTTGTATCACAGAAATTACATTCCACACTCATTTATCAATGGAAATAATACAAAAGCCCCTTTCTAAAAGCCAAATGAGTCTAATCCCCTTCCAAGGGGTCTTTCACATCACCCCAGCCTTCAGCCAAATACTCACAATGGCCAGTTTTTTCATGATGTTATGGTCACGTCATATAGATCATAGGGGTTAACAGAGATACAGACTGGTTTTATCTCCAAACACAGTAAGTTTACAAGGATAGGTGCTGATTTTAAGGGGATAGATCTCAGAGAATAGTATTTGGAGGGTGCTTATTAGTAAACTGATATGTCCTTAATGATTATTATAATGTTATTAACAATACTAATGGTTATAAGAAATTCAAAATAATATTCCCAAAAATCAAAGTGAGTTTGGTAATTACACACACTTGTTGATGTATCTATGTGGAAAGACAATTGATAGAAAGGAAACAGCCATAATAAGAAATAAAACTGAATCATAACACTTAGAATTTATCAAGAGTACCTCACCAGACAAACAAATAGCAATCCTTTTTGATTATTTCTTCATTATGAACTTTTGGTGAGTCCAAAACATTGAGTTAGTTTCATTTCTTATTGTGGCCATTTCTTCTTATTTTTGTGTATACTTTACAGTGTTTGTATTCACAATCACTATACAAACATTTTCATATGCTCAGCCGAGGCTGCTCAGATTTCAACATTAAAGTTCATATATGAAATGTATGTTTCAATGTATCTAAGAAAATGAAAAGACATTGGAGCACAACGAACCTGATCAATTTCTTCATAGATATTGTTTTCCTCTGCAACTGGAGAGTTGTACTCATTGGACTGCTGTCTCTCGAGCGGAGGTGCATAGTATTCACTCTCCACAACCCGTGTGTAGTATGGCCCCCTTGTGGCAGGCTCTTGGCAACCACCTTTGTTCGGGAGAGGAGATGCACCCCGGTCTGACTGTTGATTGGGGTAGTGGGGGGGAGGTGTTTGCTGTGCTGCCGGGGGAAGGAACTGCATGCTTGGTGGAGCCTGTGACGGAGCCCTGGGTGCCATGGCCGTTGCTGAGGCTCCAGGGAAGAGATCCTCATAACGCGGTGGGCGTTCAGGCAGGGGAGGGGTAGGGGCAGCACGGGGGAGGGTGGATGGACGTGAAATGACAGGAGCCGAGGGTTGAGCTGAGCTGGGGAGCGTGGAGGGCTGAGAAGCACTGGGTGGGACCCTGCTGTCATAGCCCTGAAGAGGTCTCAGGGATGATGCTCTCACAAAGCCCTTGTTGTCTGTTAGAGGGAAATTGTTACTGATAAGAAACTTAATGTTACTAATGTCTCTCCTGAGTTTCTCCTACATAAAAAAACAAGGCTAAAAGCTAAAGTCAGAGAGAAACTCACTACCACACAAGGAATAACATTCAGTCCTCAGAAATAAAACCAATTAAAGAACCTCTAAACGAGGTCAATGCCTTGCCTCCGTCATCAATGAACCATCTGTCTGTCCTGCCAAGGGGATCTTTGTTCTTCAGCAGCGCTACGTGGTCTCCTGGGTAAAGCGTCAGCTCCATGACCTCGGCTGGGGTGTGCACCTCCGTCACAACATAAATGAGATTTGCTGGGTAGCTGCTCAGTACCTTCTTCCTTGTTGCCTGAAATTCCATGTATGCCTTCAGAGGGTATTTGGGGAATGCACACTCACATTCACAGAGAAAGTACTATTAACCCAATGCCGCCAGGGAAAATGAACAAAAAATGGGGAAAATGCTCTGCCCATTTTCTATGTTTTTCATGAAATATCTTCCTAGTGCCTGATTTGAAATGGTGGGAAAAATGTATTTTTCACTAGTGCTATGAAAATCGATGGTGTTATTTTTATCATAAACATTATAATCATTATAATGTTTTTTAACATTAGTATCAGCAAAATAAGATAACGTAAAATATTTTGTAAATCAAAGAAAAGGGTAAACGGGCAAAACAGGCAGTACTCATAACTGGCTCATTGGTGACTTAGTACAAGTGTTGCCATCAATGCATAAAAACAATCATATAAGTACTCACAGTGGGCATAGCACGTACGTACACATCATACCCATCAGCATTGGTTTAATACTATGGGAATGAACAGAATCACAACTAAGTAATGTAAAATCTGAGACAGGCAAACTTTCCTTTGATGAATCACATATGCACCACTGCAATAAGCTATTGACACATAGCAATTATATTATCCACTGAATTTTTAGTTTATTTTATCTATTTTTAACACAACTCCACAAGTGGTTAGGCACAAAAGAGAAAGTGAGTAAATTTACTTGACCTCACCTGATTTCCTCATTCCTTGAACTTTCAGGACATGTTCTTTTATATACTATCAATGGTTTATTGTTATTATCATTAGGAATGTCAAAATGTTATTAACTATACTAACAGCAACAAATAACTAAAAAATTAAATATTTACAAAACTAAAGAAAAAGGATAAATGTGTAGGGTCAGGAAGAACTAATAATTCACCACCTTGGTGACTGCTCTTGTGGAGCCATCTATGTGTAAGCAAAATTAATAAACTAAAATCACAACAGACATGATGTGTGTACATACCATTTGGCTTCAAACTGGTTAACAGCAAGCCCTTACTTTTCTATCGTATCAAAATCTACATACCCCTTGACCCTTCATCACCAGCTTATACTTTCCCCAGTACTTAACTAATCAGTGAACTACTGTGACTATTATCAAAAGCTGTACTCAATCTACCTCTGGCGTCTCCTTCTTATTAGCACTCATATCTGCAGACTTCCTGCTTCGTTGCTTGGCTCTCGGCAGCGTCTTCTGGAGGGTGTCAGCCGGGATGAAACTCAGCTGACGGAATTCACCCATCTGCTGCAGGTACTTGACGCGGAACTGGGCCAGCATCTCTTCCTCACCCGTGTAAGACAATCCTGGGAT